GGGGGGGGGGGGTCACAGTGGAGAGGTTGCAGGTCCGTCTCATGACTAACGAACACATTCATTCATTCACCCCATGAGCTGAACAGAATCTCTGATTTGTCAGATAGTAGGAAGAGCACACGGAGGATGAGACTATCACCGCGTCCCCACCGCCTTCTGTGAAAGACGGGATTAAAATAGGACGAAGAGCCAATAGTTGTTAGTATCTTACAAAGTCTTATTTCCACATGTAATTCTAGGTCACGGACTGAATCCATCTGGCTGTTTATTGATTGATTGAAGCAATTAACACAAGTCACCTGCTAGTGTCTTCTATGACCACTTCTTCTGTGAATTGAGTGCCACCTGCTGGTACAGGCAGTGTTGCAAGAGCTCCATTACCGACCTAGGGTCACATCTTTCCATGACACGTTATTCTAGGTATTAATTGTTACGTAGTACAATTATACAACTAAAATCTGCATCAAAACATAATTTAAACATAGAAATAGCAACGAATCATCAGCAAAATAAAAACCCCAACCAGTTTAAGCTGAAATATATTTGAGAAGATGAACTGGAATTACAAATATCCAGACTGTGAAATGTATTTGCCACATGCTGGTATCATGTAGTAAACGTACGTCAAAAAATATAAATCAAAACAATGTGAATCCAAGTTTATTGACAGTGTCAGAAGGGAATGATTCAACTGGTGGTACACTGGATTGCATTATACTGAGAGGTACTATGTTATTTATCTTATGTGTGTAACATGTGTAATATGCTCCGTAGTCAGTCAGGCTCACAGTCCAGGACAATGGCAGGGAACCGCTCCCCTCCTTCACCCAGCAGGGAGTACATGTGTCTCAGCACACTGAGGCTGGGACATCCAGGCCCAGGTACTATAGAGGAAAGCTGAGGGGACAGGGTGTCCAATATAGCCTGTCACACAGAAGAAGAGGCGGTCAGCACATTATTCCTTAGCAGATGTTCACCGTAACTCAGAACAGAACACAATCAGGTGTCTGAACTGTTGTTTCACCAGGTGTTTGAAGCCCACACCCCTCACCTGCTCTAGGTAAATCTCCTGTTGCAGCAGCGACACCCTCATCCTCAGCGTCTCCAGCTCTCGGAGTTCGGCCTCTGTCGTGTAGGTTATAGTCGGCGGCAGGGCTGCGATCATCCCGTTTCCCCACACGCCATTTGCCCCGGTGGGGCAAAGACAACCTCCCTCTGGCCTCCATCGATCCCATGCTTCCCACTCTGATGGAAAATATGGTTATTTTTAGAGCGGGAGCGTGACCAACCTTACCCTAAAACGTTTTTCTGCTCTGCTGCCTCAGCTTTAAATAGCTAGGCCCTTGCCTAGCCACGCCAGGATAGACAGCTTTGAAAACCCCACCGTCACAGGGGGGGGGATCTGTCGAGGCCAAGGAAAGTACTGATCTGGCACTGAGGTTTCACTGCGGCTCTGTTTTCATTTTCCATGCGCCAAGATGGAGAGGCTGCATTAGCTCGTTAGCACGCCACATTCATCCACAATCATTTTTCAAATGTCGTCAAAATGCAATAACCGATTAATCTCTCGCTTGGAAATAAAACTCACAGAAATAAACCACTCAGTGGAATGTGGATGCGAGACGCTAGATTGGACGCATGTGCTCGCAACACAAGACGGAAGTGTGTGTGTGTGTGTGTGTGTGTGGG